CACGCTGGTCATGTATAGTGGCCGTCTCCAGCAGAGGGTTTTTGGGGGAGAAAGACTCTCCGCAGATGTTGGGGGCCCAAAGTTTGAAAAACACCGTCCTAGTCCATTTTACAGCCCTGGACTAACCAGGCAGTCATAAAGAACCCCAAAATACTCCATTCCCCCCAAAATTAACTGGGTCAGCAAAAGGGGCCAGTGAGTTTGCCAGTTCCAAAAAGAGCTCCATGACCAGCAAGCTCACACCCGGACAGAGTGTTAAATTCAGCTCCCAAACAGACCCAATCCCATTAAGGATTAAACCCCTTTCCCCCATTGCTTGTATCATGTGAACATGTAAACCCGGCCAGCTGTCCCCTTCTGCCTACCAGGTCCTCCACGCAACAGAGTTGAAGAGACAGCCCAGCCCAGCTGCAAGCCTCTCTATTATAGAACTCTCTGGGATCAGCTGGCCATGCAGAGTCCACTTCCCAAACCCTGATTGGCTGTAGCAACCAAGCCACACCCCCTGCCACCTGTCTGGCCAATGAGGAACGGCCTAGCAATGTCCTGAAGTCTTGCTAATAGGGCCTCTTGGGCCCTTGCTTAAGAAAGTGGGTGGGGGTCTCAGTGCTCACCAGTGGTGATTTTTTGACCTGGTTAGGCGATTCTGTGCTGCCGGAGCAACCCATTTTGGAGTTAGCTGCTGACTAGGTTAAATGCGAACACACTCATAGTGGTCTCCTTCTCACAACATGCTGGCTTTGAATTAATCCATTTTCTGGTGGCACCTAATACATTGAATCATACCTCATCCCAGTCGGGTGAGGTTCACCCTTCCAACCAAGCCACAAAAAACAGACCTAGATTAAAACAAACCAGGGTTAGCGGGTTGTGTGAATGCAGCCGTTTGCTCTTTAAGGTGGTGCAAACACAGCCTGGATACTTGTTGTCTGAACTCACGCAAGAGAGTCTGAATGACGTGGCAGAGAGGGATTATTCTGTGGTTACTGGCACAAGATAGCATAATGATAGTATTCGGGCTATCATGGTAATTACACATACCAAGATCAACCCTGCTGGGACACCTTGTGCCAATTGTTCTTTCTTAGCCTAAACGACCTCGCAGGGTTGTTGTGTGGGTAAACAGGACAGGAGGGAATGGTAAACATGTTGATTTGAGCTCCAGGTTACTCTGTCTGTCTGTTTGTCTATCATCTATCTATCTATCTATCTATCCATCCTCAAGCCTTCTCCCAAGAAATCCTTAAGAATTATACCCCATTGCATTTTCTGAGGATACTTAAGGGCTGTTGATGGCATCAACGACAGGGCAGCCACCACCACGAAACTGCACGTTCCACTAAAAAGCACAGCGGCGACAACGGGGGAGATGAAACGGAATCAATAATGGTTTATCAGCCAGAAGAAATCAATCTGTGCAGTGCAGAGCTTGCCAGGGAGGGCTACGTTACCCGAAGCTTCAAATGATCTGAGTTCTGTTCTCTTGTGGGTGCCCGGAGGCTCATTTCACAGGGGCCAAAGGACAAAAAAATAAAATAAAATTAACAAATTAAGAAAATAAAATTTAAATTTAAGAATTTAAAAAAGGGTGAACCGAAAGGATGGGTGAAATGGGAATGCTTTTCCTCCTTTCTTTGGCCCAGACCCGGCCACAGGAGGGTGGCTCATGCTGCCTTCTTTAGGTATGCTCCAGGCCTCCATGTACCCATTCCACAGGCGCTTGAGTGAGGACGGGTAGCATTCCCCATCGGGGGCGCACAGCCTATGCTAGTCCAGACCTCCTTTTCATGGCTTCCGCTGGTTTTAATGCAACGTGCATTTTGATCTTGTATTTCCGCTGAACGATTGCTTGCCTGCCGCTCAGAGCCACATCACCGGAGCAGCCTGTAAAAGCCCTAATAAAATAAATCAATCTCGCAGGCATTTCTCTCAGCTTGGGCCACCAAGGCAGAAGTTCAGCTCTTTCAAGCATGCAGATGGGGCCAAAGCCGAAAGAAAAGCCTGCCTGGTCCCATGTTGCCGCACCAGGAACGAAAGCGATATGCGCAGCGGAAGCTTTTAGCAGCAAAAAGGTCCTTGGGTTTTGCTGGCTCTGCTCTTAAAAGGCACGAAGCCTCCGGGAGAGCCAGAGGCCAACCTGATCACGGAAACAGAGCAGACTTTTCTCTCAAAGCCCATCAGGAGTATGGAACAGACAACGAAATCCAGGATCCACCGCATCAGCTTCTTTTAAAATCACACTTGTCGGGTTTCTAGTCCTCAAGGTGGAGACAGTTGAGGATGGAGAATGCTGGGGGGGGAAAAGTCCAGTCCAGGCTGAGGTGACGACCAACCCATCATCGCCAGTCAGCATAAGGATTATGGGAACTGCAGTCCAGGGCACCTGGAGGCCACTGGGTGGGGAGAAGGCGGTATTCGTGTATTCCTGGGAGGGATGCTTAATTATTCAATGGAGCAATGCTCCAAAGTGACTCATGCTCTGACAGGACCTTCTCCAGTTGTGTAAAAAATAACTAGGTAAATTATATAACCGAGTCGTACAAATGTATGTGTAGTTTGCTGAGTAGGAGAACCTGAGAGCTGGAAGGGGGTGGAGGCTGGTGGGAGGAACCGCAAAGCAGGAGTTGGCACCCTCTTCATTGCCGCAGCTGGCAGCGGCAGGCTGGCCTCGGCTGATCTTCAAAAGCTAATCAGGGTTAGGGCTAGTTAGTGCCTGGTAGATGGGGCACCACCAGGATATCCAGGCTGGCAGGCAAAAATAATACAAGAAGACCCTGACAAACCAGTTCCGTATTTCTGCCAGAAAAACAACAGGGAAATAAATTCCCAAGAGGGGTTGAGCTTGGCCCCAGAGTTTTTATTTCCTTTTACATGTCAGCCCTTCGAGGTAGGCCAGGTCAGGAACGAGACTTCACAAGAAATGCGGGAGCCTGACTTTGCTGATCTAGGATATCATAGCAGAGTCTTGGAAATCTGATTGCGTTTTCTCTTCCCTCCCTCTTACACCGTGGAGAATCGGTTTAAGTTTCTTGCTCATGTCTTCTTCCTTTCCCAAGCTGAAATCATGTTTTGCTGACCATCGCAATCCTTCTCCGAGGTCATCTCTTCAACTCTCTACACCAATGTTTCTCAACCTCAGCAATTTTAAGCTGGGTAGCCTTCAATTCCCAGAATTCCCCAGCCAGCCTGCTTTAAGATGGGTGGACTTCAACTCCCAGAATTGAAGTTGAAGTCCACCCATCTTAAAGTTGCTGAGGTTGGAAAACACTGATCTACACCACAGACCGTTAAGTCTACCTAAAAGACAATACCTGGACAATCTTGGTTACGGTGAAAAGCTGAGCAAAGTCCCTTCTATTTTATTTCTAAGAAAACTACATGGATATAACCGTATAGTTTTCTATATGGTTATAGAAGCTACAGGATTAACTCAACGGAGAAGAGAGCGAACCCCAATACATCTGAAATTGGGGGACGTGAGCTAGAGCGATTCATATTAATTCTAAATATTGATTGATGGATTGATTTGTGTGGGGTTGAAAAAATGCGATAAAATCATATTCTAAATCATGATGTTATTTTTTTGAGAAGTCGCATGGCCTTGCTAGCAATACGTTTCTTTTCTCTACAGCCAGAGAGAGGGACATTCAGCATTTTCACCCAGGCTGGCTTCTGAACTGACTCAGCGTGGTCCGGGCACATGAGGAATGACGGAACGGGCAACCTCTGGCGTGCCATCAGCCCGTGTCTGGCAACGAATCCCTGCCTCGTCACCTTCTGACGACACACCCGGGTCTCTCCCGCCTTTGAAAAATGGGGTTTTCTGCTTCTGGGCATTGCACATTTCAAAGCGATGGGGGCAGGTGAGCAATCTTAATAGTTCTTTAAACAGCAAAACGGAAGCAAATTCCCATTTCAGAATTCTTCTGGAGACGTTGAAGCATCAGCAGCAATTCAGGCCATGGAGCATTTTTGCAATTTAATGGGCTCGGTGCTGCTTACGCTGAAGGAATGTTGGACGACACACCCAAGATGGGAAGCGTGCCCCCGGCGACTCGACGTCTGTGCCAATGCTGGAAGCTTACTGGCAAAGTAGCCTGGCTGGATGGGGCTGGATGTTAACCAAAATATATTAAAAACAATTTAAAAAAAACAGAGTGAAAGAGGGGGTTGGAAAGAAAACGCCAGAAGATTCTAACTGTAGCATTTCCTCTCGATGCCTTTTGCTTTGTACACGACAAGCATCCCTTTAAAAAAAAGTTTTCCAGATGCACGTTTCAGAAATAAAGGTTATTTGATTGTAAGCAGGCTAGACTGTGTGATAATTCTCTAGGATTTTGATGATGTTGACGACAGCAACAACGATGATGCTGATGCTGAGGATTCCCCCGCCTTTTCTTCCTCCTTCTTTTGATATTGGTTGATGTGCCATCAAGTTGGTGTCGAATTTTAGCAACCACCTAGATAGGTTTCCCCCAGGAAGATCCTCCTGATTAGGGCTACAGAAAACTCTAACCGTATTGTGGTCACGCAGCTCAGCTTGATGATGGCGACGGTGACGGCTGGTCGCACAGTCAGCCAGATGTTCAGACTGGATCTGGCCTTTTTATCCCCCCATCGAGCCCTTCCCAAGGACCTGGGATAGGCAGATGTGGTGGTCTGATGGTGTTCGGGGGGGTGTTCACGGTGGTCCAAACAAAGGCGCCTTTG